CCCTCTGGCGTCGCCGAGCTACAAGTGCCGCGAATGTTTTCTCGTGTTCCCGCACAGGATCGGCCTCTGGTGGCACTACAAGTCCCACCTGGGCGGTGATGAGGTCCAAAGCACTTGCGTGGTCAGCGAGGCGGCCGACTTTGATCCTCTGTCCAGCTTCTTGCGCTGTCGCGAGTGTCCCGAGATGTTCCCCGACGAGGATTTGCACTGGCAGCACTACAGGACGCACGTCACGGAGCCCTGCGAGGAAGTGAGGCAAGATGTCGTCGAGGAGGACGACGTTCAACCGCCGCCTTCCTACCAGTGCAAGATGTGCTCGGAAACGTTCTCGGACGAGAGGAGCCACTGGCTGCACTACAAGGTCCACGCGCAGCTGCCTGCCTCTGATTTGTACGAGATAGTGAAGCCTGCCAACGGGATGACGGGGCAGTACCGCTGCAGCCGGTGCCTGGAGTTGTTCGCAGACCTCGAAGGCCATTGGTGGCACTTCCGGGCACACTACCAGCAGGAGGAGCTGGCTCAGCTCGACGCCTTGACTTTGACTGACAACTGCGAGGAAGGCGGGACAGAAACTACAACTTCCTTGAAGTTCAAGTGCTCCCAGTGTCCCGAGCTGTTCCAGGATGACAGGAGCCGTTGGTGGCATTATAGAGTCCATGCTGCTGACTCGTCCAACTGCTTTGAGATGGTGCGGAGCCGGCCGGAGTACCGCTGCATCAAGTGCTCTCAAGTTTTCCCCGACGTTGCCAATCACTGGCTGCACTATCGCACCCATTATCCAGCCGATGTGTTTGATCTGGTGGTGAATAATCGTGTGAACGGGGCCGCTGCTCCTTCCCCCTCTGAGAAACAGTTCCGCTGCTCAAAGTGCCCAGAATTGTTCCAGGACGTTGATGCTCATTGGGAACACTACCGCCAGCACTACGCGTCCCCCGACGACCGGCCGTGCTTCGAGGCGGTGGACGTCGACAAGGACGCCAATGAGAAGACAACGACGTATCGCTGCAGCAAGTGCGACCAGATGTCTGACGACCTAGAAGCCCACTGGTGGCACTACCGCTCGCACATGGACGTGACTGAGGATGTGGAACTTGACCAGACTGGCATTGTCACTTTCCGCTGCCTGGAGTGTGCGGAGACGTTCCCGGACTCCGACAGCCATTGGGCGCACTACCGCCAGCACGTGGACGCCGAGGTCTGCGAGGAGATTGTGCCACAGGATTTGAAGCCCAAGCTGTACCCGTGCTCAAAGTGCTCCGAGGTGTTCCCAGACCGGCGCAGCCGCTTTCTGCACTGTGCCGTGCACGTGACGCCCCGGAGGGGCGGCCCTGGACCCAGCCAGGCCGTGCTGGTGGACAAGTCCAAGGGCTTGCAGTGCAACGCGTGCAGCGAGATCTTCCTCGACACGGAGAGCCACTGGTGGCACTACAAGACTGTGCACAAGCCGGACGCTGAGCAGGTCGGCCCGGAGACGTATCAGATTGTGGAACTCACTGCTGACCCCACTGAAGACCCCTCGACTAAGCGTTGCCAATGTAGCAAGTGCCCGGAGACCTTCCCTGACCGTAAGGCTCACCACCGCCACTACAAGGCTGTTCACGCCGGCGGCCTGGAGTAATCCTCGCCCTCCATCGCCGGAGGCTTCCCCTGCAGCAGGTGTTCGGAGGTGTTCGCCGATCGGAAGAGTCACTGGTGGCACTACCGTGTTCACACAGATGCGTCCGAGTCTACGGCCGTGCCAGTATCGTCCGGAATCCCCGCCGAAGAGAAACGGTCCGACATTCACTCCTGCACTCACTGCTCTGAGCTGTTCGCCGACCAAGCGGACCTTCAGAATCACATTAAAGTTCAGCACAGCAATGCTGCCGACGGAGATACGACACCGACCGAAGAAAACGCGTCCGGCGTTCACTCTTGTACTTTGTGCCCTGAACTGTTAGCCGACCACGAAGATCTACAGAATCACATGAAAGACAGACACTGCAACACTGCCGAGGAGGACACGTCCAAGCAGCCCAATGAGTACCGTTGCTCGAGGTGCGCAGAAGTGTTCCCCGACCTGGAGCAGCACTGGTGGCACTACGGCGTCCACACCGACACGGAGTTCGTGGCCTCTGTTCGCGGACTGTCGATCGAGAAGTCCGCCGAGCCGCGACCGGTGACAACACCTGGCAGATACCAATGCAGCAAGTGTCCGGAGAGCTTCCCGGACCGCAAAGCCCATTGGGTGCACTACAAGACTCACAAGATGAGTTGCAACTCCACGGGCAGGTACGTCGCAACTCCAGAGCCGGTCAAGGTCAAGAAGGAGGGGGCGGCGCAGGATGGCAAGCTGCAGCGGACCGAGGCGTACAAGTGCAACCAGTGCTCCAAGGTCCAAGGTGTTCCGGCTCTGGATTAACCTGTTCAATCACAAGAAGTCTCACGACCTTGCTGAGCGGGCAGCGCAGGGGCAGGCGCGAGGT